CCAGTGCCTGACCACCCTTTCCATGGAGAAATTCCTCCTGATGTCCAACCTGACCCTCCCCTGGCACAGCTTGAGACCGTTTCCTCTCCCTTGTTCCCTGGGAGCAGAGCCTGACCACCCCCTGGCTCCACCCTCTTTCCAGGGAATTCTAGAGTGAGAAGGTCCCCCCTGAGCCTCCTTTTCTCCAGGCTGAGCCCCCCCAGCTCCCTCAGCTGCTCCCTCAGGCACAGGGTGTGACTCCTGGGGTGTCCTGGGCAGGGCTATGCCTTGGACTCAATGATCCCTGTGGGTCCCTTCCAACTCAGCATATTCTGTGATTCCTGGTGTTCCAGCCCCTTCCCCACCTCTGTTCCCTTCCCTCCAGCCCCTCAAAGTCCTTCCTATCATGGGAAGGCCAAAACTCCCCCCAGCATTTGTGATGCTGCACTCAAAGAGGGGCAGGTTCTGTGCCCAGGATGCTCCTCTGTCCCTGTCCTTGGACTCAATCAGGTGTGGGCAGCAGTGGGGAGTGGTTTGGGAGCCCCTGCCATGCACAGGAGTCTCCAGCTGCCCACCCAGCCAAAAATACTCTGTTTTAATAACAGCACTACGCAGAGTCAAAGCCCAGCTCGTTGCTGCTGCTGCCAGATTAACAGATGGCCCCGATCATTAATATTGCAAAACTTCAGGAGTTCATAATTCTTTAATCTACCCAGCCCGGGGGGGTGGGGAGTGCAGGCCCTGCAATCTGCTGTGCCAGGGGCTGCCCCCCACCATCCACCAGGCTTGGGGCCACCCCGACCCCCCAAATTTGGGCACCCGTGCTCCTGGTCCCGCCTGCCCAGACAAATCCTGGCCCTGGAGCCGCTCCCGGGCCGAGCTCCGGCAGGAGGGACAGACCTGAACCCCCCGGGCTCGTTTTAGGGTCTCTGGGGGCTCCTGAATTCCCCCCCAGTGCCATCAGATCGCGGCAAATCCAGGGCAATCCAATAACCCACCGCCCGTGTTGTTTTGCCATCGAAGCCGAGCCTTTCCCGGCGCTGGGGAGGCAGCGCAGGAGATTTAGGGCTGATGTCAAGGGCGGATAATCCCGACTCCGGGCCGGGATCACTGACCTCCCGCATGGCCACGGGGGGCACGGGGGGCGACGGGACCCCCACGGGAGCCCCGCGGAGTTGGGGGGTTGTTTCCAGCAGAACAAAGCTCCGGGTTTGGCCCCGAACAGCTCCATCGATCCTGGCCCAGCCCCAGCTCCTGCCTCCTCTCCCGGAGCGCTGGTGGCTCCAGGAGGCTGCAGGGAGGCTCTTCCATCGATTATCCGGGAGGGATGAGGGTGGAAGGGAGGCTGGATCAGCACCAGCCTCCTCCTGGCCCCTGCACGCTGGGCTGAGAAATCAAACAT